CTCCAAGTTAGTTTCTGTATTTACAAAGTCTGTCGTAGATTTTTTTTGATCGTACGATACAGAATAATCTATCGTGGATCCAGACAGTATAGGTTGTGTGTCTAAGTATATCACTCTATTTTTTGTTACAAAAAAATCAATACCAGTAGTACAATTTGCTCCACTCTCATGATGAGATGTATCTTGAATTGGAAATATATTGGGTCTGTATTTAAAAGAAGACTGTGTTAATGAAAAGATTCATTCTTTTCATGGTAGGATCAAATAATCTTGGGGTTGAAGTTTTTTAAACAATACTAACGCATAATTAGATGTTAAAAGGGACATAATAGTGGATTTTCCAACACCTTGGCCTCCTAAACATCCTACAACTAAAAAGTCCTGCTGATCATACAAAAATTCAAGGGGGCTTTCGCAGAGTTGCATATTTTCATCCATGAACTTTACACATCCAGTCATTTCAAGGAATGTTGGCAATATAGTTCGAACCGCTAAAGGAAATGTATCTATAAAGTTCATTGTTATTTTAAAAATTTAATTATAACATTTAGAAAAAAAGAAGAGACTCACGATCTTGTATCTTTGTTGCAGCATTGGATGATGCATCAACCTCTTTTCTATATTGATCAAAAATTTAATGATTACTTAAAGGCTTAAGTATAATTTTACTGGTATTGTTATACAAGAAATTATTTGTACTTGTTACCACCGTTGCGTTGACTTGGTGACACAGCTCTATTTTCACCTTCTCTGGTTTTCAATATAAACGTCGGGCGATCTATAACTTTGACCGTGCCTCTACCATCGCCGTCCTTCGGTTCTGTATCTTTTGAAATTATCGGCAGCATTTTTTGTACGTTCATCGCTTTTAGTTACTCTTTCATGCTGTGTAAAGTATCTCCGTTACAAATATCTTTACCATCTAAAGTACAAAAATTGACTTCCGATCAGTTACTTGCGCGTGTTATAAAGCGTAAGATTATTTTCTTTTTACAAGTGTATTTTCGATGGAGACAAAAATTATATAAATCACAGGATATTTGATACTACAATGAAAATAATCAATAATACATACATATGTTGAATTTATTAAAGAGAAACAATCTCGTCGTTTTGTTAATATTTGCTAAAACACTTTTTAATAATATGGCAGTCGCCATTTGTTCGTTACAGTAAATGACGCACTATTGGTCAGTCTTATGTACATGCAAGTAATACTTCTTTCAGTATGTTCAGATGATTTTCTTATAAAAAATAACACATTAATTTATTATTTTTATGGATCATAAAAAGAGAAATATGTTACAAGTTTGTTAGAAAGAATAACAAAAATAATGAATTAATGCTTGAAAGTAACTATAATCTAGTACTTTATTTTACAAATTTCTTCCGAACATGTTACTAAGATATTAAGATTATATATACTATATTACAGTGAAACATTTGCATCGATACTACGAATACAATTATCATTGCCATGATCTGCGAGAAATGTCAAGCATGTTGCACCTGACGTATGATCAAAGGCATATAACTGTATAAATGTGCTTAAATGTTTACAGGTATATTGGACGTATTTATGCGAATAACACGAAGAGAATTAATAAGAGATCGAGCGTAATAAAAAGTTAATTTATACCTCTTTTACTTGGTGATAAATGAAAGACATTTATTTAGGAAGAGGCGAATATTTTTTTACGATGGCCGACAGTTTAGCAAAAGTCTTCACAACCGAAGATTTTAATCCAGAAAAATGTAAGCGAATATAATCAAAGAAACGATATATCTATGTTCACAAGGGGCTGATAATTATTTTCTTTCAGTTGTTAAAGATCTTAGCGCACAATGCATTGGAGCGGACGAATTAAGACAACAACGAGCTAAAATTCAAGAACTTGCAAATAACACTTCTGCACAATTAAAACGTAATGTTTATCAAAACTATATGCAATTTATAGAAACTGCTAAGGAAATATCACATTTGGAAAGTGAAATGTATCAGTTGTCTCAATTATTGAGTGAGCAACGTTCCTTATTGAGTACATTAGGATCTACCAGAACCACTGGTGTTGTTTTTGAAAATTTATCAGAGTCTCAATTAGAAGATGTTAATGATTCCACTGCCAAGGAAGAGGAGCAGAAACAAAAGTTGATGCAATTACTTGAAAATGTAGAAGGTGCTATGGTCAGTTACTGAAACAATTATACTCCAACATATGCGAACAAGTTATTGCTGGTAATGATAGTATCTTGATTTGATTGTATAGAGCCTGGCAGAAACACCTGGTCGTGTATGCTTACATGAAGGTTCTTTGCTAGAATTGGATCCTTTGGAAGGGACACCATTGAAGAGAGTTCATGCTCATTTATTTAATGACATTTTGATGATTGCCTCTTGGTTAGCAAATGGCAGTAGACGAGGGCCACCTAGATATAAAATGCAAGCTGTTTATAATCTAGAAAGTTTGGCCATTGTTAATGTCAGAGACCTTGGAACAGTGAAGTTGGCATTTAAACTTTTAGCATTCTCTGATACGAGAGTATTCCAGTGTGCAACTGCAACAAGTAAAGTTAGTATATTAGAAAAACAATGTTCATAAAAATCGTTGAAGAAAAATTTGAATTGTGGCTCGTTTTACAGAAAGAATGGTTAGATAAGTGTGAGCAAGCAAAAAGAATGAAGTTGGTCGAAGATAATCCGACTGATGCGTCGGATAATGCTAAACGGTCGAAAGAGGAGAAGACGACGGTACCCTCTCGATCGATGTCACTTGACTCAAACACCCTCGGTATGCTTTTGCCACTCGGTGAAACCTGTATCTTTAGATTGAATTCAATTAAATTAAATTGAATTAAATTAATTTTTTCAGTTGTTCTTCTGCGTAGGTATAGACGATGAAGATACGGAATATCACGAACCTCCACCGGAGTGGATGCTAGAAGTGGCAGAAGATTTGGATTCTTGTATAGCACAGCGTCATTTCGAGGAAGCATACAGCCTCTTAGAGAAAGCGAAAGCCTATTTGAAGGACGCGCAATCTACGACACTTTTGCTCGAAATTCAATTGAAGGTAAACGACAGAGGCAGATCGTTGGTTGATGTTTTAACAAAGGAACTTGAATTAAGCGCGGAAGCAAAGTCGCTTCAAGGTGGTGGTCTGAGGAGCGCGCGTCGTGTCGTAAGATTATTGATACAGTTAAACAGAAGCGCCCAAGCATGCCAATTGTACTTACGATTGTGCAGTGCTGTACTAAAAGCTCGTTTGGAAAGAGTTAAAAGAGAAGGTGCTATCGCACCGTACGTGAAGCAACTTAGCGCGATCACTTTCAGTAACATTGTTGAAATCACGAAAGAGTTCTTAAAAATTTTCCCAAAATCGACAAATTGCACGTCTGGTAAGTTGAGAATTATATACCCGGACGATGTCGCTTAAAGTCACACCAGTAGCTCATCGATTCTTCTTTCTTTTATGCCTATTAGGCCTGGTCGTTTGGTGTAGTCAAGAGGTAAAACACTTAACGACATATTTAGCTAAACAACTCTTTACTCCACAAGTGTCTCTAAGTACATTAGTAGAATGTATAGTTTCTGTTCGAAGTCACTGTGATCAGGTATGGTGATATACATATACTCGACATTATCATATTGCTTTCTTTCTCTTATTCGATTGAACAGTTTTCATCGTCTGTATTTTCCACGTTCAATTTGTAGTTAACGCAATTAGGAATGGACTTTCGTTATCAATTGGATGGTCAGCTCAGGCTTCCGTTAGTGAAAGCTATAAAAGATACAGGCGACAAATGCATCGACACCGTGAAAGGGCATATAGCCGAAGACACCTGGCGGCCGACCAATTTAGAAACTAGTAAAAACATTGAAAAATTGCAATCGGAACTGGATGATCTTGGAATAGCTGTTCCATCATCTTACGTGACGAATGATTGTTGGATAGCATTGACCGATAATACTTTGGCCTTTTCAAGAATTTATGTAAATCTATTAGAAGACTGTCTCAGCGTTGCTACACCAGAATTAATGGCTCTAATAGACGGAGTTTTAGTATCGGTGATGCGTACTCAAGTACAGCACGTACTCGCGTCGCTTAGAAACCCGAAATTAAAGCAGGAGGTAATCAATTTTCTTCTTTCTTTTCTACACATTTAGTAAAAAACGCGTTTTTTCATCAAATTTTAACGACATTTAACGCTTGAATAAATACTTTAACATGTCTTTAGAAACGCCTGGTGCACGATAATGCATTGTATATTCGGGACGTCGTAATCGTGCGGGGGCTGGAACTGTATAAATCAGCGACAAATCAAATTTTTGAAGACTTATTGACTTTAAAGGAACAAATCGAGATTGACTCGTTGTCTCCAACGAAACCAAAACCTACTCCTAGAACTTCTGTACCTAAGTATTCTACCACGGAATATATTTAATTATGAGCCGAAATACCTCCTCGATACTACCTATGTGTATATATATTATATAGGGGTATAGAAAAGAATTTGCAAAAGATAAAGTAGGGTGTTCCGCAATGTATGTGCTCGATGTATTATATTGTACATATAAGTTAACTTTAATGCTTTAGTAAATACATGTACTGAATTTCAAAATTTCTTCTTATTTTTGTCGCAGGTACATAAAGTAATACTAATGTTGTATAGAATAAGTAAAAGTTACACGTGTGCTACAGTCGGAAAACTACGAACAGTTTTTGTATAGAAATGTTCGATTTCGTTTTACACGCCTAACATGAAATATATTTACAGAGTTTAGAAAAAAGAAGAAACAAAAAAAAAACGAATGTCAGATATTTTACAAATTTTCGGATACTTTTTGCTGCTTCGTATCTTCGCCTTTATACTTTGATTCTTCGGTATTCGCTTCCAATTTTCTTTTTTTAGCACGTATGTCTGCTAATGTCTGCTCTATACTTCGTTGATCCTTCTTATTTTCACTGGGAACTGAAATAAATTTGTCAATTTATATAATGATAAAAAAACATGTCAAACTGGATGTACAAAATCATTGACCTACCACATCCATAACTACTATTAGCTTCTGTTTTCCTAGCTGCTTCTAGAGCAGCTTCCTTTCCAATTAGATGCTGGTACTTATCCTTATAATAACTGTTTGGTACAAAATTGTCTTTTCGTTTTTTAGGTTTTGTAGCCATCTCTAGTTCTTCTTTCGCTCGCCTCTCCCTCTCCTCTACCACTCTCCTTGCTATTTCATCATTCCATTCTTCTCCTCTACGTAATGCATTCAACTGATCTTCGGATGGGGTGTATTCTCTTTTAAAAATCACAATATGACGATCAATGCCTTCTTCTCCAAATGAGTAGGCCCAAATGTTTGCCACTTCAGCCACATCATGTCTATAACAAAATGAAAGGATATCAAGGTATTATTTTGTTAATAATTTCTATTATAGCTTTTGTTTTATATACATTATACTTCTATGGATTTGATCCATTGGGGGGAATTTGTATTCCTTTGCATCGTCATCTTGAAGGAATTTATTAATTTTCTCTTCTACCTAGATTAAAACAAAAGAGACGATAACGCGCTCGCAATAACCTTTTCTAACAAGAACGGGCATATAGATAGAAAATTTAAACCTTTTCTCGGAATTGTTTTAATCTTTCAGCTTCAGCTTTTTGATGCTTTTGATACTCCTCTTTTTGCTCTACATAGTAAAAGTTATTTTATAAATAATAAGATAATTTTTCGAAATATTTATAACATAGGTTAACTTATAACTAACTTTTCATCAATGCCTTCTGTTTGTCACTGATTGTTGGAGGCTTATCCATTGAATTCAAAATAGATCCCAGTAAATCCATAATCTTTTACTATATTCTTCTGAAAGACTCGATGAAGTTTATTTCGTAAGACACCAAACAGTTTCCAAGTGCAATACACGTTATCGCATTTAGCCCTGTCAAATATACGACAACGCAATGGTACATCGCAAAATATTCGACGTTTTAGCCAATGACAGTTGATCTCGTACAAATATGCTGATTTATTGGCCTAATGCTCATTAATAAGAAAAACATATGGCGCATATCTTTTAATGATAATTTTCATTAAACAAAAGGAAAAAGAAAATAACGAAGCAAGATTATGAATAAATTATTTATGTATATAACAACTGTTGTAGAGGCTTATAATGAATTAGACGTTTTGTAAAATCATGTTATATTGATACAATCGGAAAATATACATACATTGTACATATAAATTTAAAAGTTTATATGCCGATAATTACTAGTTAATTATCAAACGCTAATACGAGATTCTGCGAATAATAATTCATTTAAATAAATTTGATTACGATTTAAAATATTATGGAACGAAGCATAGATTGTTACTCTATATTAAAAGGTAATCGGACTATGCGCGTAAGATGAAAAAAATTCAAAAATAATATATTGTATTGCTGGATTTATCACATATGTAATAAAGAAAACAATTAGAGAAATTGACATTGTCCTAGTATGATGATCAAAATGCTGCCTATGGTCAGTAGAAGACAAAGATATCTCCCCGTAATTGGTATTCTGAAGAGTCTGGCACACATTTTTAACGACGACGTATACAAAAGTATTGTGTCAAGATCTTCGCCCGGAGTACTTTGATAAACAAATGGCCGAATGCGCACTTCGTGTCCGATACTTTGAATCATAGAACAAGCAGCAGTTAAACGAGCTGCCTATTGTAAAATGAAGGAAAATAGGTTTGAATCATTCTTCCTTATATGCACACGTATATAGTAACATGATGTTCGAACTCGAACTTTTTTTTTTTACTTCTACAGTTTCATTCCATTGTCGAACGTACCTGAATAAAAGGAACCATTGATATTAAAATCCATAGGATTACGTTTATTATTCCGATCCAAGTGACTGGGTTACTTTCTGCATCACTATTATCGTACTGAAGCAACCAAACTGTACCAGCAGCAGCCCATGATAAATTCACAACTGTATAGATGCATACGGCCGGCCCTAGTTCGTCATTGAAATATTTCAGTAGCTTTTTAAATTCGCAAATTTCCTATGATATAAGAGTAAACAACGATAACGGTTTCACTTCCCATTTTGGCTTCTCTTTTTGCTCTTTTCACTAAGTAAGTAAGAATTTAAATTCATTTACAAACCCTCATCCAATCGATGGGAGGTAAAGTACGATGAAGGAGTTTTCCATGGAGAAAGTACAGATGTGCCAGTAAAAGCTGCCCTTGTAGGCAATAACTGGTTATAATTGTTCCTTGTACCATATCATGCCATAGTGTGCATATAATTAAAAGCACCTTCAATGTTATTTTTACTTGATATGGACTGTGTGAAAAATAATTTGGGAAGAAGTGCAAAATAACAAAACGTGAAGAAGTGAATATATTTCAATGATAAAAATGAATTTGATTCAGTGATAGGATGAATTTAAAAAATCAAGCAACAAATTTATCTAGAGAATTACCTGTGCTCTAACCACTGGAATACAATGCTTTCTTGGGCCATCAGAACATTTACTGTAATGAATGCCATAATTATCCATACAAGGCTCAGTGCTATAAATAGCCACAAAATTCGCACAAGTTTTCTTTGATTTCCACGATTTACAGGATTAGAAGATAGAAGGAATGCTCTTTCCATTAAATTTTGCAGCTGCTCATTTTCTTTGATTCGGAGGAGATATACAGTATATAAATATGCAACTAGATGCAAAATGCTGGGAATCAAGTAACTAAATATAATATTTCCAAAGCAATTAATTTCTTCTCTGTGCTCTGTGCTGATGTTTAGAACAGTTTGAAATTTTAAAGGCTCTGCTTTGTAACAAAATCCTCTGTCTCTTCTGAAAAGTAAATTCCACTTGATGAAATTTATGTTATGAGCATTATGAGTATTGTTACCTAAAACATGCCATATATTGTAATATGTATCCAATACACATGAATATTGTGACTTGAAGGGTATGAAGATTTGCCAAAAGGCAATAACAGGAGCACCATTCTGAATCATCGCTGCTCATTGGCTTCAAGCCCATTACACTTAACAATTTCAGATATGGCCTTAATATTTTGTGCTTACAATAATGAAGCACTGCAGATGTACTTAGCATTTCAAAGTCAGGCATTTCTGTGATTTCACCAACCTATTGTAAATAAGTAATAATAGACATACATTTAATGATTGCATTTGAGTGTACAAGGAAGAAAATTTCTGAAGTTAAGCAATCTTACTTCTGTACTTTGCATCTGTAGGTCTGAGAATCCAGATGGTGTAGATATCTGCATCGTTTCTTCACGGTTTTGTGTAAGAGGATCTTTCCCATTCTTTGATTCATTATTTGAGTTTACCTGTAAGAAATAATTAGAATGTAATTGATGGAACCCAATTTTGTTCTGTTTTATTTTTTAATTTTATAAAAAAGAAAATCTATTATAAAAATTATTCTCTCAGTTTAATTACGTCATCGTTAGTACGAATTTTATTATTCGTAAAGAATGAATGCAAAAAAACAAAATGAGACATGTTAAACACCAGGTTTGGAAAGTGGTTTGAATGTGAACATAGACATTCAGAATCAAAATAAACAATAATCAATACGTACAAAACGATCACCTTGGATCTCTGTTCAAATAAGCGTGTAACTGCTAAAGTTCCTAAAATTGAAATTCGATACTTGCATACCTATACGATAAAGCTGCGGTATTATAGATTACAGTGTGATAAACGGTATGTAATTGAGGGCAACGAAAGATTAGATAAAACGTAACGTAAAACTTACCAATGTCATTTTTCTGGACGGACGAGCACGATGCTTTTGAACTTGAAAAGAAAACATTTATATCGGTACTTCGTGTGATTCACCCTAACGTATGAATTTTATTATATCACTCTTTTGAGATGACACTTCACCTCTGTCAAGATATCCATATGAATCGCGTCGAAACAAATTATTTTATTCATGGTATAGGTAACTTCTAGTGTGGGGCAGTGAGGAAAAAGAACACGAAGGGGATAATTCTTTAACAACAATAAACATTAACGTTTCTTTCTGTACAGATTTCCTGCTGGTCTCAAGAGATGTTTGTATCCTTTTTCATGTCTTTTCACGTTTAATTTTTTACGTCCTGCTTGTTTGTTCTGCAAATAAATAAACATATATACAGTACTGCATATGTATATGAGTTGTACAATATGTAACATATACATACCTTTTCAATGACAAAAGTCATTTGCCTGTTACCACGAGAACTAGAAGCTTTAACATCCTGGCCTTGAGTTTGCAGTCTTTCTCCCAAAGTGGCCCTATGAAAGTGAAGAAAAAAAAGAAGAAAATAACGGATTCCAGATACATCTAATATTATATTAAAATAATAGTATACGCACTTGCTCTGCCTTTTCGCTACCGGTTTCGCATCTTTAAACTCTACATTTTCTTTAATTTCATAAAGTTGAGGTTGATTTCCAACACGTTCGTTAGTATCTTTTACGTCTTCGTCACTTTCTTCTGCTTGTCTTTCATTCTTCTTTATTAATCGATACTGTTTTTTCACTTGTCTAACCCACTGTTTTTCATCCTCTGAACTACTATCGTCGTGAATGAAGCTTTCATCTGAACTATTATCTGAAAGTACAAGTCTCGTTATTAAATCAATTTAATACATAATTATACAAGGATGTAACGTTATTTGTATATGTATATAACCATGGCGTTCGTCGTCCTCCACGTGATCAATTTCCATTTTTTCTTCAACTGCTTTAATTTTTAACTTCTTCAATTTACTCTTACTAAGTTGCGAAATAACGGGATTTAACAACGTATATTCCTGCGAATTTTTATCAACTTCGAAGTCTGGATTGGTGAACAGTTGTTTGAAACGTTCATCTGTTAAAAGACCGGAAGAGCCTCTTTTCCTTTTCTTCGGATTCGTCTCATTATCCATTAACTTTAACGCAAGTTCTTTATTTACACTTGGCATCTTTTGAATCTGCAGGTACATATAGACATATATCAAAAAAATGCTGTATATCGTACCTCAAAACGCGCGCGCGCGCGTATGTATCATAAGATAATAAAATATTTCATACCTGCACCCTACTGGTAAAAGTTTCTTCTATTTTCTGCTTAATTTTCTTCTTTTTATATTCTTCGAATTCAAATGGTTTCATTACATCTCTTGCTTTCCTATATAATCGAATATCCATAAAATATCCATGC